TAGAAATCTTTGTTCAAAAACTTAAAGGACATGTAGTTGCTAGATGCCTTTCATAAAACATAAAGTTATCGGTCACGCAAGATTGGCTCCCACGATACACTTCTTCAGAACTCAAGCTCTCTGATTACTTAAGCATTTTGGCATCAACATGTAAGCCAGCTTGAATGTCAGAAGAGATGGGAAACAAGTAGAGAACCACCAAGCAGACTGAAGCCTACAATGCCTGGAAAAAGTCTGTCTGTCCGTTGCAGCTTGGAGAGTGCGAAGACCAGAAATCGACAAAAATGGCAAAGACCATGCCGAAAACATCACCGCGTATATATTTCAAGTGATGAACAGAACCGGTACGCTGTCGAAAAAACGTGTGCAAGTGGTTCAGGTCACATCACCAAAGCCACCCTGTCCATCCCACCAACAGTCTTGCGGTCCACAGCAGTCCCGATCTTTTGAACTGTTTTCTCGATATGAAGAGAGTACTCTTTGGTACTCAACCTCTCAAAGAGATACAGATCTAAACATCTCAGGTGGATCTACTTGGGTTCTTCGCCTCGGCTCTGAAGCATCATGCGAATTCTCAGCAGGTCATTCTGGGTTCTTCCTTCAACGGCTACCTCGACCTATAGGACCTACCCCCAGCAAAACACCAGGATGGGCCATGAGAGCGATGTGGGGCCAATGAGCCGGAACCAAGGAGGAAACCTTTCAGAAGCTCCCAAAGCTCCACGATGCGCTCGCGGGTCACGTCCTCGGCATTTGGAGAAGCAAATCAGAGGCACTTGAAAGGCTCGCTCTTAAAGCCGCTTTTAGGTTGGAGGCCATCGCTCTTAGATTAAAGCACAATCACGAAAACTCTATCTTCACCTCCCGTCACCCTCCACCAGCCCTGGGCGAAGCTCTCGTGCAAACCCCCCCATCGGTCCAGCTCTTTCAGCGGGGAAAAGCGCAGCTTCAGGAGGATGTCGATGAAGCCCTGCTCCCTGGCGGAGAAGAAGCTGCGCTTCAGTGCAAGGAGGGGGGAAGAACTCAAAATCACAGGGTCCTCCTTTGTCTTTTTCCCCGCTTGGTAGCATTTCACTGCTGTGCATGTTTTTCTGTTTCTTCTAAGTGTTGCTAAGGGCTGCTGAGTACAAACCAACAAGACTGCCATATTGGGATTCTAAGAACAACGTCATCCACTGGCTGTGGCAGCAAAACATCATGTTGGTGCGACCAAAGTTTTGCGGTGGATCAACACTTTTTGCTGCGTAGGGGACTTCCACAAAATAATATCTAGGTCAAGAGGAAATGACAATCCTTTATGAAATGGTGTCAACAACTTGGCAAGCAAATTTTGCCAGTGTTACGGTCTCGTTGTAGTAGGATGCTGCTCTGGGCTCTTCTGGTGCTCAAAAGAATACTCATTTCATGAGCAGTTTTGTTATCTGCAGAACAATCCAAGGAGTTAGCCACCAGCAGCTCAGAGAGTACTTCAAGCCTTGGGTGAAGTCACGCCCTTAGTGAGCAGGTTCCTTTCTTTTCTTTGTTTTTGAACACCAAGGACCGGAGCAGGGCCTCATCTCTTCGAGCAATGTCGGCGAGATTGACAAGGTGAAAAGCAGCAAGACCTGAGCTTGGCCGGCGTGGCCCGCCACGCCCCGTCATGCAGCTCTGCCAGTGGCATCCCAGAGATCCCAGAGGTCGAGGGAGTCTGACAGTCGATTTCTCTGCTGTCTCCGGAAAGGTTTTCTTTGATCTCTTTTCAATACAAATATTTCTCGTTCACTTCAAGTTCTGCCCAAAGGCATCTCCGAATGATGGCAGCTGAGTTCAGCGCAGCACTCACCAAGCAATCTGTCTGGTCACCTTCACAAATAGAGCTGCGCTGCTACGTTTGCACTCCAAGGCGGGGCCATGCAAAGCCCTCTGGGCTCGCAGCTGGTGAGAGAATCGAATGGCTTGCCAACAGCCTTAGCACAGGATAACACTATGGGGTCCAAGCCGGTTGATCGTCCTATCCTTGCAACCAATTGTGACACAGCTTTTCCGGTCATATCCCACTAGCGGTCACTAGCGCCAGAACTACCATTTCCTGAGGGCATGACCACAGCACCCAGCTCCTCCCCACAAGTTTTCACACAGCATCTGACTTACGCAACTTCGGCAAACCTTGCAACCCCTTTCAATCAGAAAAAGGTACCACGGCCAACGCAGGCCATGAGTGTCTCGTCTAAGCAACCTTTGCCTTTGCCTTGTGAATTGGCCGAACACTGGTAGAGAGAGGTGCAGTCAAGAATGGTTTCAGCTCAAGGTGGTGGTTTGCTGCAACTAACCATGTATAAGAATATATTGTACAGTAGGATCCTTATAGTGGTCCGCGCCCCTTCTTTCAACTTGATTCATGACGTCACCAAGCCTTCCTGTCATCCGGTCAACCGGTCCTCAATGACGGTCGGCAGCAAGACGCCAACTTCCTCACCAGCTCTCAGCGGTCAAACGAGTGAGGCCAGCGAGAGACAAGGCCAAATCATCTTCGACCGCAGAGATGATGGAGACAAGTGGGAGTGGGAGACAAATGCTGCAGTCATCGAACAAACAGGATCATTTCCACAAGAACGAACCTCAACAGCAAAGACGTTTGCGGCAAACGAGTGAAAAGCCCTCACACAAGGCTTCACAAAAAAAGAACAAATCAACAGACTTGCGATGTTCGTGAAAACGGGAACGGGAACGGCCACGCAAAAACCGTGGTCTGCGCCTGGCGGAAGGATTCGCCCGAGGTGCCGGAGCAGAACCTTGGATTGTTCAGGTGCGGATCGGGCTCTCTAGTAGCAAGAAGCTAGTAGTAACAAGTGTATCGCTACTAGTAACAAGTGCATTACTACTAGTAGCAAGAAGCTACTAGTAGCTATTTGCTACACCTGACTTAGGCCACGACTGTCGAAGAGCAAACATCAACTTCGCCCTGGACGCGGCTCAGCAGATTTTTAGCATCTGAGGCTCATGTGAGGCTCATGTGAGGCTCATGCGGGTTGTGGCTTATATAAGGCAAAGTGATGTGAAAAGGTTCCCTCCAAAGATATGGGATGTGTTATGATGAACCACGATGGTTTGGTGCGCATTCAAGGCCATTGCTGATTGATCCAATAAGAATGAAAGTCTTGAATGTGGAAACAACTGATGTTAGGGTACTTCGATCGCTATTAGGTTGGAGGCCATCGCTAGTAGGTTGGAGGCCATCGCTATTAGGTTGGAGGCCATCGCGATTAGGTGAAGTTCAACGTGATTCCCAAACTTGTGAGATGCAAGTTCCCCATTCAACTGCAGGTTTTCCACATTCTGGTGTCCAGCGAACCGTGGATGTCCTGAATTGCGACATCCGGAGCACCCGACGCGGTCCCCAGCCTGGAATAAAGCCCGGAAGGAAAGATGGGAAGACAAAAGACTGTTTAGGAAAATGCACATTGGCCCAGTAAGCTCTGAAAAATCAAACCTCTTCGTGTGAATCCAAGTCCTTCTCTTGGATGGATGTATGATGTATAGAGTTTGCGGCCCCACCAGCAACTTGCACATGCAATGCAGCAAATTGTGCAATGAAATGCCACAAGAATTGAACAGAAGATGGAAGATCCATCAAACATGCTGGAACAAATTGACCACCCCTTCCCAAACATGGAACATCCAACCGAATTTTTTGGGGTATCGCATGGTGCGGTGGGGATCACAGGCATCGCAGCACCCTTTGACGTGTGAATGCCTCCAATCGCAAGTCATGTCATTTACTCTTTGGACTCCGAGCTTGTTGCGAGTCATGTCCAGTGCATGGGGATGCTGACGACAGTACAGAATCACACAGTATGAGTATGATTCTGTACTGTCGTCAGCATCCCCATGCACTGGACAGTGGAGCGACCGCCCCTGCATCGCCCGTTCTCAGGTGAAAAGACAAAGTCGAATAAATGACTGGCTTAGCCGTCTTGGCTTCTCGTTCAAAGTACGACAGTGTCGTAGCCAAGACGGCCAATGATGATCAATCAAGGCGGGAAGCAAACGCTTCTCAGGAGCCACCAAGTTCTTTGTGTATTCGCGGTGCCCGAAGGTGTGCTTGTAGCATCTCTCATATCTTGCCAGATCGAAATCATGTCTGTTGTACTTGCAGCGGTTCATGATGTTCCTGCATACGTCTGGAAGAGTCGCTCTAAGAGTCGCTCCAAGGACAAACACTGCCACGATAACCACAATGCAAAGGATGGCAACAAGAACCTGAATGAAGCCTGCGCAGCATTTGCACCAGGCAAAACAGCACAGGGATACAACACGGGATGACCAGCATGAGGAGGAAGACTAGAATTTGCAGTTCAAAGCGCAACAATGACTTCTTTAAGATCTGGATGATTGTGCCGGACTCCTTGTCATTGCAGAATATTTGCAGTGTTTTTGGATTCACACACATCCCCACAACCAATCTGGCAGCGATGACAACAGAAGCTTGTGCTAGACATATCACTCGTTGAAGGAGCCGTTCGTTCTTCGCATTCTGGAGGCGAAGGGCGAAGGAGCCCAGTTGGACATGACGATGCGAAGAATAGCGTCTAAAGCAAGGTGCTCGGGCCAAAGTGCTGAGGAGTATCCTGTCTTGGTGAGGGAAAGCTCCCTGGCAGCGGATTGCTTAGGTCAGCTTCTCGATCCGTGTGGCGTTGCATGCCGCAAACCCGAGCTTGCTTTGATCGGAGCCATGGAACCTTCGGTTGTCTCAGTCCAAGTTAGAGAGTGGCAACGAAAGAGCTACACCGCTACGCAATCACAGCATAATCAAGTGGATATGCTGCCATCTCCGGTGCAGTGTCTGTTTGATATTTCAGGTTGTCATGTTGGATGAAGGATCCGGATGTCCAGTGTCACTCTACCCTGCCTCAAACGACTGTTCTCAGGAGATAGCTCATAGAGTGCAATGAGTCGCTGAACCACCCTGCACAGGAGCCCACAGGGCACAGGCTTGCGTTTCCTTTCAGAAGCTCCAGGAATTAAATATCGGCGTTTCTTTTTTGGAAGTGACCATCTTTCGTCCAAGGTGGCCCTCCCGTCTTTGGTGATATGTTTCATGTGAAGTGCAATCTCTCAGGTTAAAGTGCTCCCTCTTCCAGATGGGTAATGATTAAAGACTTAAAGATTGAGGTGTAAACTGACCGCATGGATTTGTCCCACAAGCTGGACCTCCACCCTGACGGTAGAAAAGTAGAAAAAGAAAAGTAGGCTAAACTCCCTTGGTTGATCCGATCCTCATCTTGAAACACGCACACACACACACACACA